AATAAAAGAATTTTATTTATTCTAAGCACCTCTAAAGAAGGTATAGGTAGAAGAATAGAGGAGCATACAAAATTGAGGGAAAAGAATATAAAAAAGATTTAGAATACATGAAACAGATTCAAAGAGATTACCAGGAAATTAAAAACTCCATTGAAAGCTGGCAAAACTGCTTGAAAGAAACTAAAGATAGACTATCAAACCTTGAAGAGAGGTTTGCAGCTTGCAATCATGAAAGGAAAGGTCTTGTAAAAATAACAATGAACCAAGAAGTAACAATACAAAGGCTACAAGATGATAAGAAGAAGTATAATTTAAGAATAAAAAAGTGAGTGAAGAAGCAGGGGTAAACACAAATGAAATACAAAGGCTATTTACAGAAATAATGAAAGAAAACTTCCCAAGCATGGGAAAAGGAAATGATACTTAGATAAGTGAGGCATACAGAACCCCAGCCAGGCATAACCAAAATTAATCTATACCCAGACATAAATAATCAAGATCCCAGAAATTCAGCACAAGAACAGAATATTAAAAGCTGTCAGAGAAAAGAAACAGATCACCTATAAAGGAAAACCCATCAGAATCATGACAGATTTCTTTACACAAACCATCAAATCAAGAAGAGCTTGGAGTGAAATACTCGCAAGTCCTGAAAGAAAATAATCTCCAACCCAGATTGATGTACCCTGAAAAACTACCTTTCAAAATTGATGGAAAAACAAGATGTTTCCATGACAAAGAACAACTGAAGAAATTCATGACTGCCAAACCAACCCTACAAAAAGTACTGAAGGACATTGTAGAGAAAGAGAAAAAAGACCATGGTTTCAGGAATAGCGGTAGAGGGGGCTCACTGAACGGGGCAGACAGTGGAAGGAAGGGGAAAGTAGGCAACCAATGGCAGAAAAATAGCATAGCAGCTATGAGGAAGAGAAGGATGGCTGTAATCACTAATATAGATGGCCTCAATTTACCAATAAAAAGAAACACAGAGTGGATCAGGAAATAGAGTCCATCAGTATGCTTTACATAGGAAATACATTTAATCCAAAAGAGGGTTTATAGACTAAAAGTCAATGATGAGAAAACAATGCTCTATGTGACAGGGAACAGAAAAAAGTGGAGGTAGCTTGCCCAACAGCTGCAGATTGGTTAGAAAGACATGATGACACTTTTATGCAATGGAAAACTAATCAGCTATAAAAAAGAAAACCTTGAGGCTCTTGTAGGTAAATGCATACAACTTGAGACCATGCTCAGGGGTTAAAAAGGTTCAGAGTCACTTCGGTGAATAGCAGGCTGCCACCCTAATGTAAAACCTAAAGGAGTTAGTGGGATCCAAAATGTACAATGCACTCTGTGAAAGTGAAAAGGGAGGAATTGTCTAAAAAGGGAAGGTGGTGGCCATTGTTAATCCATTATCATGATTTGAAACCCATATTGTTTTCATTTTTCTGTTTAGTTTGGTTTTATTCTGTTTCAGTTTGTCTACTTACATTAGATTTGATGGCATGGAGAGCTTTTCCAAAGATAGCAGGATATATTATGGTAACCATTTTTTATTTCCTATTAGCTTGATTTGAAGCCCTGTATTGCTTTCATTGTTTTGTTTTGACTGATTTTATTCTGTTCTGTTTTGTTTGATAGTACCAAGTCTGATGGTATAGGCAACTACTTGGAGTACAATAAGATGCATTATAATACCCATTGTGGTTTTACTATTATTTTCTTTTGAAGTCCTATAGTATTTCTATTGTTTTGTTTTTATTTGTTTTATTCTGTATTATTTTGTTTGATTTATTATGCCTGATGATATGGGCAATTCTTTTGAAGATAACAAGAGGCATTATGGTAGCCATTGTTGATCTCCTTGTATTTTGTTTTTAAGTCATGTACCATGTTGTTCCTTTTGTTTTGATGGACTCTATTTTGTTTTGTCTCATTTGGTTTTATCCTCTTCAAAATAAAAAAAGTCTTTGCCTATGCCTCCTTCTTCAAAGGTTTACCTATTACCTCTAGCAGACTTCCTCTTTTAATATTTAGATTTTTGTTCTATTTTTATTCTGTTTAGTACATAGAAGCATGAGTCTAGATTTAGTCTTCTGCATGTGGATACCTGATTTTCCCATCACCATTCATTAAACATGCTTTCCTCTGTTCCTCTGTTCCTAAGTGTATGTAGGTCCCTCTCTTAAAGATCAAGTAACTGAGCATGTCTGGAGTTGTTTCTACATCCTCTCTTCTGTTTCATTTCTGTTTCATTTCCATACAAGTTTGTTTTCTTGGGCCAAGAACATGCTGTTTTGTCACTGTACTTTTTGTAATACAGCTTAAAGTCTGAGATTGTGATGCTTCTTTTTTGCTCTTGCTCAAGATTGCTTTTGCTATTTTGGGCCTCTTTATATTCCGTATGGAATTTTAGTTTTTTTCTAGTTCTGTGAGAAATGCTCTTGGTATTTTGATTGGAATTTTACAAATGAACTTCCTCAGCTTTTATCGAGAAATGTCTTATTTTTTTCTTTATTTTTAAATATTAGCTTTGCTGACTATAGAATTTTTTTTGAAGGGGTAATTTTAAACAAGGTCTTGCTATGTAGTTTAGGCTGGTTTGAAACTCACTATGTAGTTCAGGCTGACTTCTAATTTTGGAGAATCCTCTAGCCTCAGCCTCCTGAGTGATGATAGTAGGGATATGCACTACATTCCTGGCTTAGATATAGAATTCTTGACAGTTTTTTCTTTTAGTACTTTGAATATATCCAGCTGCCTTCTGGCCCCTTTCATTAATCTTACTGAGATCCCTGGCATGTGTGTGGAAAGCTGCTTCTTGTCTTGCTACTTTCAAAGTTTCTTTTTGTATTTGGGTTTTGATAGTTTGACTGTGTGTCTCCCTAGGAGAGTGAATTTGTATCCCACTTGGAATTATATCAGACTTACTGGATATGTATACTCTTAACTTTGATCAGATTTGGGAAGATTTTGGCTGTTCTTCAAATATTTTATCAGACCTTTCTCTCTTCTGGTATTCCTATAATTTGTATGTTGGTATGTTCGATGTTCTCTCACAGATCCTCAGGCTCTGTCCATTTTTCTTTCTTCTGTTCCTAAGGCTAGGTAATGTCAATAGTGTTATGTTCAAATTTCTTGACGCTTTTTTCTGCATACTCAGATCTGCTGTTGAACCCTTCTCGTGAACTTTTCATTTTAGTTGTTCCAGAGTTTCTGCCTGGTTTCTTATTATGGTGTCCTTGCTTTGTCCAGACATTGTTATCTCGATTTCCTTGACTTTTTCCATGTTATCCTTTAGTATCAAACATATTTAAGGCAGTTCCTGTAACATCTTTGACAAATAATTCCAGTAGTCTCAAAAACAAACAAAGCACAACTGTTATGTGAAATATTAATACACTGACTTATTTTTTTAGACTTAAAAAATGTTTTGATGATTGCTCTCAAAGTTTCAGTATGTATTTTAATTTATCATGATTATTTCAAATTAATGCTGCCTTAATTCTGGTAAAAGATAGGAACTTTGCTCCGAGATAGCTCCATTTTTATATTCCTTCATTTGTGTTCTTATTAAGTCCCTGAAATACAGTTGTATAGTATATTTTGTTATTTAAAGTATTAAGAGAAATATATGTAGTATTTAACCAAAAAATTTACTATTTTCAGTACTCCTAATTGCTTCTTGTGGGTTTGAATTACTGTGTCCTTTCCTTTGGCCTTTCCTTTGGGCTGTCCTGAGCCTGTGTGGGTGGTGGCAGCAGCAGCCTTAGTAAAGGATGCCACAGACTGTCACTGTGTTTAGCTCAAGTTTTAGCAAGGTTTTTTTTTTTTTCTTTAAATGAATAAACATTTCATAACTTGTTTGTTCACATTTTTTTTTTATTTAAGAGGAAAAAGAGAAAAACACAAAACAAAACAAAGCAGTGTAAGGTTACACATAATACAGAACTACAAAAAAAATACATAACAGTAAGAAATTACCTGTTAATATTTGAACCATTTCCGGAGCCCTGGATACTTATTTTTGACAAGTTTGTTCAGTTTTATATTTTTGCAGGGAGAAGATTGCAGACTCTTCTCAGCTTTAGCTAAAAGTGTGTGCCCATTATATGGTGGAGAGTGTAGAGCCTTTCTGTACTGTTGTTATCTGTGTCCCATGACTACAGAGATTGGGCTCAGAACCAACGGAGGCTGAAAAGTGGACCTACTTTTCCTGGTGTGATTGGGACCTGTGACCTTGCCAGGGTCTTCAAGTCCCCAAGTTCTGTCTTTCCCAGAGGTGGCCTGAGGCTTATTTTGTCATAGCTCCCTTGTCCTCCCTTTTGGGCCCCTCCTTTTCTGCTCTCTTTGATTTCCTGGGAATATACTGACCTTGAAGATTTTGTGTAGACCAGCACCTGTTATGCAGCTCTGTGACTGTGTGTGTGTGTGTGTGTGTGTGTGTTTGTGTGTGTCTCATGGAGGGTGTAAAGAAGCTCAAAATAGTGTCAGGGCTCCAGGATAAGTGTTGCTTTTTATACTGAGATTTTCATTCCCCTTCTAGGTGACTTTGTACATTAAAGGTTGCTGGGGGCTGGGGATTTAGCTCAGCGGCATAAGCGCCTGCCTTGCAAGGAGGCAGTCGTGAGTTCGATCCTTGGTACCGATAAAAAAAAAAAAAAAAAATCCTTGCTGGGCCTGAGGTGTGTTTGCAGCTGGGCAAGAGTAGTGGGACTCTCTAGCTATATTCTCACGGAGTTTTAGGGTAACTCCTGCTAAAAGGGAGAGAAAAGAGTTCTTTGCCCCAGAAAGCAATATGCTCACCATCCAAAGTTACGGGGAAAATTTATATGCATAATTCTGGAAGAACTTCACTGACTGGGTCTCTGTTGCCTCCTAGGTACAGTTTCTCTGGAAGGGAAGCCAAGTGTTACTTTTTTGTTGCCTTTATCTTTTTGTAGATACTGCCTTGAGTATATCTGTAACCAGATTCTGCCTTTCATTCTCTGCAGAGAAATGTCACCGCATCCGGAGTCATCCCTCAGATCTCTCTGATCATGGGCCCGTGTGCTGGTGGGGCTGTCTACTCTCCAGCCCTCACAGACTTCACGTTCATGGTGAAGGTAAGAAAGAAGGATCTGTTTCTGATGTCCTTTGAGAGTCCTGAAATTCCTTATCTGCACCAAAAATAATTCCTGACCCAGATCTAGGTTGCTATCTGTATTCTGATTGGCGTTCAGTGGAGTGATAAGTTCTTAATACAGAGAGGGTTTTAGCACAAAATCTGTAGCTTACGAGGTTCAGGGGAAAAAGAAGGTGCTTATGTGCTTCATTGGTGAATGATTTTACTTGTTGACCTGAATTGCAAGTGGTTTTCAGGTAGTCAAAAGATCCTGTCCTCTGTGTATACAAATGACTGTTTACTGGATCCTATTCAGAAGGTATCTCATGGGAGTTTTTCTGTAATCTGTTTTATTGGGAAGCTGTTTCTGATGTTGCATGTTTATTTCAACTGTTTACCATTTTCTTTTTTATAATGGTAATGGACGAATCTGACATCCACTTTCATTTGATATTTGCGTGACTTTAATGGAATGATATTTTAAATGATTTATAAAAGAAGCATTGAATTTACATTTGGGTAATTACCCATACTCTGGACATTTAAAAAAAAACCAGCTTTTATCTCTTAAAATATTTACAAAAGTAAGCAGTAAATACCCAGACAGAAAGATGGAGGTGGGCGGAAAGTAATGATAGTCATTCAGTGTGGGAAGACAATTGGGGAGCAGCTGTAGTTGGGAAACACTTTTTCTCAAGGCACTTTGGCAGTAGCAGTTCAGAAGTTTCAAAAGTGCTTACACTCTGACCCAACTATTTCGTTACTTGTGACATACTGAAAGCAACATATATGTTCAAACAACAGGGATAGCTTTCAAAAGTTAAGATGACCAAATCGCTTACTTCCTGAATAAAGCAAAATTCCCTGAACTCTGCATATTAAGTCAATCTGTCTGTCTATATCTAGCTGGTGCTGCAGTGTCTCTTCTTTGCTGCTGTTACGAATGGAGGCATGAGACCGTTGCCTCTGGCTGAGGGATCCCTTTCCTTTCCCTTCCCCTATGCACATGCGCATCGCTGAACACAGCTCTCCACACCTCTTCACTAGGCTTGTGCTGTCCCTTCTCTGATCCTTTACTAATCTCAGTATTGGATCCTCCCGTCAGAACTTAATTCTGTTCAGTCTTTCCTATCTTCATAGACAAAAGCCCTCTCCTAGTTTGCAAACTCTTGCACTCTTGCACTAATTCTATCTTCTCATCTTTTCTTTAACAGGTTAGTTTAGTGCTGTTCCCCCAGTCTCCTAAGCCTGTTCTTCTAAATCAGCAGAGCCCCACGAGTCTGGCTTACCCAGCCTTTACTCAGACACAGGAACAAGCAGTTAAAATAATACAAGTTTCATCTGCCTCCCACCATCTGTAGTACATGTCCAGGTAACAGCTGGATCTCAGCTGTGTTGACTTTTTCATGGAATGTGTCAGCACGCTTGCACACTGCCTTTCTCCTTAGTGTTCATGGAGGAGGCCAGTTAGGCCTCTGCCCTTCCTGTCTGGTCTCCCACAGACAGTGATTCTTGCATGGCTAAGTCCTGCTGACATTCCTGAGCATTTGTTCTAGTTGAGCACCTCTCTTCTAAGGCAAATTAGGCATAGTCTTGTTTTTCCTATTATATCTGTTATTCCTTTGGTAACCTTATTTAGTTTCATGACTGTAATATTGATTTATAGGCTGGCAAAATTCTCAGATCTCTTTCTCCAGGATTATGCACTTACCTACCTGCCAGCCTTTCCATTTGGCCTTTAATGAGTATTTCAATAGGTTTTGATATCCAGGAAGTCGCAGCTCAGGTCAAAGAGTTTACCACTGTTGTGACTCATCTTTTCTGTCATATTCAATCAGCTTTACTTTAGGACATAGCCCAAAATACAATCACAGTGCTTCTTAAGGTTACTTCTTACTTAAACTGCTACAACTGTGATTACACTATGTAATTTCCTACCTGAATTATTGTCTGTTCTTGCTGCTTTGGTCCTTTTGTCTTCTTTCATTTAATTTTAAAATCATTTAAATTTTTTAATGCAGTATATACTCAGAAAACTACAAATGATACTTACAGTTTAACAATTGTTATTAATACACATCTATATAAGTAATACTCTGGTGACAAAATAGCTTTCCAAGAGCCCTGGGCTTATGTCCTGTCCTTATCTTTTTTTTCTTTTTTCCTTTTGATGCTGGGATTTGAACCCAGAGCCCTATATATGCTAAACACTCACTTTGCCATCAGGTTACACCCACAGTTCCTTTTCTAATCATTTAGAATGATTTTTTGCCTCCATCCTGCATAGAATTACTTAATTTTCAACATTTATGGTAATTTAAAAAATTTGCTTGATAATTAAAAAATTTGATAATTAAAAATTTTAAGTGTGCGTTACTAAATCATATAAATTGTTTTGTCCATTTGAAGATCAAAATGTATTCCTCTGTGAATGGCTTCTGGCTCATTGTGTTTTTAAGACTTATCTGTGTTCTTTGCAAATACAGCTCACTTATTTTAATAGCTGTGTGTTTGGTATGCCTTAATATATTCATCCATTTTGTTGTTAATGGACATTTGGTTTGTTTCAAAATTTTTGTCATTGCAAATAATGGTATTAAACATATTTTTAACCATATACCATGGTATACCCGTGTTTCAGTTCTTAGGCAAGCTTGGGTCACAAGATATACATATCTTCAGCTATTCTATGTAATTCCTGATGGAAGAGATTGCAGCAGTTTGCAATTCTGGCAGCAGTGTGAGAATTTCACTTATTCCACATCCTTGCCAGTACTTAACATGTCTTAATTATGCCACTTTGAGGCTTGTAGGATAGCCTCACTGTGCTCTTAATTTACATAACCCAGATTGAGTGCCTTTTCATATTTCTTTGTGGTGTGCCTGTTCAACTCTTTTTCTCATATTTAAAAATTCAGTTTTTAGTTTGTTTCTCAAGTAGATGTTTTAAAAAAAAGTTCCTTGTGCATTCTGAATATTTGTTCTTTTCCAGTTATCTGTGTTGTACCATCTTTTCCTACTCTATGACTTATGGTTTTCCCTCTTTCAATGCTTTTTAAATGATTTTAAATGAAAAGAATTCTTAATCATTTGAGTAAGGCTTGAATTCAAAATGGCTTTTTACCTTTTAATGCTTCATACAAAATTTTTTATGGGGTACTGGGTATTGTTGTCCTCATACTGTTTTAGCAGTGCTGGGGGGTCAAACCTAGGGGTGCTGTACCACTGAGCTACATCCCCAGGTATTGTTACTGTGATTATTATTTTTGTTGTTTTGAGGCAGTCTCCCTACGTTGCATAGGCGGGACTTCAATTTGCCATCTTTCTGCTTTAGCCTTCAAAGTGCTGGAATTAAAAACATCTTTCTTTCACTGTTTGGACCTATAAATTTCTCTTCGGCATTTCTTTCCTTGGAGTCTCCAAGTTTTGGTATTTTAAAATTTGTCTGAAGGTATTTTGTTACTTCCTGTGATTTCTTTTTTGACTCATTGATTATTTAAAAGTGTGATACTAAATTTTCATGTATTGTGAATATTTTTACCTCTTTATTTTTACTTTTATTCCATTGTGATTTCAGTCTTTTCCCCAATAAACATTAGTGCATTTTAATTTTTAAAAATATTCTGCTTCATTGTGGCATTTTCACACATGCATATATCATGTTTCGATTATATCCATCTTTCCTACTGTGTCTCCCCCCACACCTCCACTTCTTCTCTAATAGCTCCCTCTTCTCCTTTCATACTTTTTTTTAATCTCTTAGATCCCACATATTAGGAAAGCAAATATTTGTCTTTCTGAGTCTGACTTGTTTCACTTAACATGATGAACTCCAGATCCATCCATTTTCCTGAAAATGACATGTTTTTGTTCTTTATAGCTGAATGATACTCCATTGTGTGTCTGTACCACATGTTCTTTATCCATTCATGCATTGGTGGATTCTTAAGCTGATTCCTGTCTTGGCTGTTGTAATTGTGCCTCAATAAACATGTGTGTGCAAGTATATCTGTATATACACACACACTACATCTATATACTGTGCTGACTGTGAATATGTGTCAAGGAGGGGCATATAGCTGGATTATGTAGTACTTCTACTTTTAGTTTTTTTGAGGAACCTTCTACTGATTACTATGGTGGCTATACTAATTAACATTCCCATCTACAGCGTGGAGGCCTTGCTTTTTTCCTATATACTTGCCAGCATTTCTTCCTTTTGGTATTTCTGATAACCATTCTGACTGGGATAAGATGGAATCTCGGTATGGTTTTTATTTGCATTTCTTTAATGGCTAAAGATGCAGAACATTTTCTATGATTACTGACCTTTTGAGACATGTGTGGTGGCATATAGCTGTAACCCCAGCACTGTTAAAGACTCAGGCAGAAGGAGCAAAAGTTTAAGTCTAGCCTAGTGAGCCTAGTGATTGAGTGAGAACCTGTCTCAAAATTTAAAAAAGGGCTGGGTGTGCAGCCCAGGGTAAAGGCTCTAGATTTGGTCTCTGGTACCACACAAATTTGAAAAAAGCTTGTTTTTATTATTTGGGAAATTGTCTGTTCAGTTCATTGGCCCAATTTTGGGTTGGAATATTATTTTGGACTCATGAGTTTTTTCTTTTAACATTCATCAGAAGTGTAGTTGGCAAAGCTTTTCTCCATTGTGTAAGCTTTTTTCTCTGTTGTTTCTTTTGCTGTGCAGAAGCTTTTTAACCTGGTGCAATCTCTTATTAATTCTTGCTATTTCTGTGGTATTGAAGTCCTATTCAGGAAGTCTTTGCCTGTACCTATGTCTTGAAGCATTTCTCTTATGTTTTCCAGCACTTTCAAAAGTTTTGTGTCTTACATTTAGGTCTTTGATCCATTTTGAGTTTATTTTTGTACACTGTAACAGATAGGGATTTTTATGGTTTGCATCTGGATATCCCCCAAAAGCTTCATGCAGTCATAAGTGGGGCTTTTCAGAGGGGGCTGGACTAGTGTGTAGGATGCTGGGATTAA